TGCAGTGTCGGGCTAAACTACCTATGGGGCAGCCTGTTCTTTGTTCAATTTCCTTATCTCCTAAATTATTATAACTGATCCATACATCGAGATATTTGAATTGTTTGGTATTTAGTAAATTCCTGAATTTTTATGATGGATTCAAGGCAAGTTTGATCACTGCTTTCATTCTAATTCATAGTTTGTTTTGAAAAGTTTTACTTTGAGTCCTATTTCTTGGAACACTCGGAAATGTATATATACTAAGCTTACACTATTTACATTATTCGGACTATTGTCCTCATCTTTGTCGCCATATTTATTACAACGTTTCGGCCGTTGTAAAAGTTAGACGACCCTTCGCAGATAGCTCTCTCGAATAAGACACCCCATAAAGTCTGTTTGTACGCTATCCCGTGTAGCTGCGGAAAGAAATATAAAGGGGAGACAAGCAGCTACCATAAGGTAAGGCTTCAAGAACCCCAGACAGCTGTAACACGAGGGGAAATGTAAAAATAAGGCGTGGCTGACCATATATGGAGAGAAAAGGGAGATCACCGCTCTATGTGGGATCAGGTTGAGATCATAGACAAAGAACATCACTGGAAATTTCGTAATCTTAAAGAATCAGCACAAAAAAAACACAAAGGCCGCAAAAATCTCCTGAGCCGACCAAGCATAGAAATGAATACAATATGAGGACCAGTAATAAGGATTGCCAGAGAAAAGCAATAATAACAACAAAAATTGCAATATGAGCTCTGGTAAAAACATATAGGATAACAGCAGAAAATTGCAATATGAGCACTGGTAAAAAAAAAGGTGGCTGAAGACATTAGGTTTATACCCAGAAATTCAATCACAGACGTTCTCGAGGATACATGGCACAGTGGATAAAGGCGGTAGTTAAATCCAGTGACAGAAAGAGTGTGAGTTCAATAACTGGTTAAGGCGGTGAAGAACATGGGGAGGGAAATTAACAAGAGATAACTGATAACTGACATCCACGGCACGTGGAACTAGAATAGTCTACCCTAGTGAGTGAAATAAAGGGTTCTGTTCGACATTCTAACCACCTGAAGAACGTTGTAAAGATGAGGACAATAGTCTGAATAATGTAAATAGTTTACATAATACCTCATCTCAGACATATAGACAGTTACTAAGCTTACTTTAGAAAAAAGAGCGGAACCGATGCCATGGGTCCTTACCTATAACTACACACAGTACGCAGAATGAACTCTTCCTAACACTCTGTATACTACGCCCCTCGAGAGAGAGGGTCGAATCGAGCCGTGCTTCTCGGCTTGATGGTCGAACTCTCTGCCTCTGAGCAGAGAGGAACCCGGACGAGGCTCCGCCGAAGGGCAGAGTCTTGTTCGGGGAGATTGACCAACCCGATCCCGTTTATGCTGGTTCTACGGGCATTTTTTGGCCGAGCCTACGGGCTCGGGAAACCCACGTTAAACTCGGTCTTGTGCCACATGCAACCCTCGTGGGCGGGTGGCTAGATACCGAATCGAGTCGAGCCGATAGTAGTTCACTCCAAACCAGACTGACAGTCATACTAACACCTTCCACCTCTTGTATTATTATTTCGTGTAATATACCTTCGTTATTTCTACTCTTGTGTTCGTGTTGTTCTTCCTTGGTCCTAACCAATTATGCTACTAATAACAGGCGAGACTCGTTTTCTAACGAATACTCTTGATAAATACATTCTAAGATTAGTTCTTCTTTTGGAGGCTCGGATTAAAAATCCTAGCACTCATTGACAAAGTTCGTGTTACTAATTATAATTTATACTGCACTCTTTATATACAACTGTTTTTGTTTGTTTTCTTTTGTATTAATGGTTAATAATGGGAGACTCATCGATGGGCAGATAATGTAATGGTAATTCGCGCGGAAACCTGGATCGGGGAACATATTTCTAATTCGAGCAGAGGCTGTTCACTATCATAAATTTTCAAGGCCGTTCATTTTCGCACAATTTCCTTTGGGAAAGATACGAGTTAATTCTTCCCCCAACTATGGTTTAAATAACAGGTTAAACTGAGCTATTTATTCTTGGGTTGCAACCAGCCTAAGAGAACAATAAAGTATATCTTCCTAACCGTGAAGATGGCAGTAGTAAAACTATTCCACTTTCTCAAGAATGTATAGCAATTCTCAAACAATAAGGAAAAGCAATATGTAGAAAAATTATATCACCAATATCATGCAGAGACGTAGTACTTTTCCTTTGTAAATATGGATCACAAATGATGCTACGAATTGGTCGCTTGCTCCGTTCCGACTTTGACAGAGCTGAAAAATCGAATAGAAACATTCTATTTATATTCTGTCAAAAAGTGACTATTTATTGATTAAGTAAGTCGGAATAACTTTACTTTTTTTCTCCCAATCAATGAATTAAAAAATAAAATCAAATAAAACAAAAGAAATCTTCTTATTTAATCAGTGTCCCGTCACAATGATGATTCGTTTGTTTTGATGCTCTTTACAAATCACAATTGACACACGATGAAAAAAAAAATAACATGATCATAATTTTGGGGTAATTAATCAACGATCATAAAGTGAGAACTGATTTACCTTTTCACATTTGGATTCTAATCTTTATTCCCAGAAAAAGAATTGGTGCAGGAGTCCCAACATTTTTTTTTTTTTTTTTTTTTTTTTTTTTTGGTTTGACGTCACCGCTGAGTCTTATTTTCTGTTTAGAGATTAATTTTCTTAGAGTCAAAGATTTTGTATTAAGAATAGTCAATTTGAAAAAAGGAAAAAAGCAAAACAAATATTCACATAATTTAATCAAGGCTTTATTCGTATTCTTCGAAATGGAAAAGAAGCAAAAACGAACATTATTTGAAATCTATTTGGAGGGAAAAAATTCTCCCGACCTACTTTCCAAAAATTAAATAAATGATCAAACATCAATATTTATTTGTGAATAACTCCATAGTTAGTCCAAAAAGTTTTCAGCTCCCCTCGCATATATTTATATATATATAGATATTGTCATCCACAAATAGACTGTTTCGCAGCTCATCAGTGCCTTTAGCTAGGATCGAAACCCGGCTGAATTGACATCAGTTGGAGACTCTACTGTTAAGCCGTCGGCACACAACAAAAAAAAAAAGGGAGAATTTAAGAGTATTTATTTTTAGATAAATATACAGTAACTGAGAGCTCTCAATTCGCTTTACCAAAGAGTCTTGCATTATTAGCTGTAATAGTCACTTTTTACAAACCCACACTTCCTTCCCCAGAGAGCTCAACTGAAATAGCATATATATTGTTATTCACAGACATATAGATAGATAAATAGATACGACGAATATATATATATATATATATATATATATATATATATATATATATATATATATATATATATATATAGATAGATAGATAGATATATATATACGACGAATAAAGTATATTTAGACATATCAGAAAGATCTACATAGCACTTTATCCAATGCGTTGGTTATACAAAGAAATAATTTCAACCACAACTTAGATCTCAAGAACGAAAATAATTTGAGGGCGCCATTATCGATTCTAGCCAAAATATAAACTTACGGCTAGGACTTTTTTTAAATACCTTCTTAAAAGACACTCCTTTCTGAATCAAACAGCCATTTTTAAAAAACTGAAAACATTTAATACAAGACATAAAATAAATAAGTTAATGCATAAATAATTAAATAAAATAAAATTGAAAGAATAATTACATTGATAAAAATAATCAAAATAAATATTAAACATTTACTCGCCTTCGTCGATTAGGTAATAAATTACATCACTTAGCGGCCTCCATAGTTTACATTTTCTTTTACAGTTCGATTAAAGAATATTTCAAAACTTTCTGAAATTGAAAATTTGAAAATTTAACGAGATTTTTTCCTCTGCTTTACTTCGATGTAGACATAAAGGTTACAAAATAAAATTTTCATATTTACCTTGATAAAGTTCCTCAGAGGATTAAACGTGTTGTTAAACAAAAGTTTTGTCTTTTGTTTTATTGTCTTTACAGATATGTTTTCATTATATTTGAATTTTTACATACACAGGTGCGCACATACACACCCGCACGCGCACACACACATATACACTACAGTTTAAAAGTGTGTAGCCATCCCCAGAATTAGCACAGGCTTTTAAAGTCAAAAGAACAGAATCTATTATGAGATTTATACTTTGAGAAACTTTTGCAACGAATGCTAAAGTTTTGTGCTGCAGTAATTAAAGCTAAAGGAGGCTATTTTGATAAGAGAAAAATTTAATCATAAAATGTTTTTCTTTTTCTTTTTAGGTCAATTTAAAATTACCAGTGTATTCATCAAACTTTTGAAATGTATTGTATATATATATATATATATATATATATATATATATATATATATATATATATATATATAAATTATATATATAAACATTTATTCGAAAAAATAACATAATTTTGTTTAAAATACCCATTTGTTTCTTATGGTGTCTTATCAAGTGATGGTGTTCATATATATATATATATATATATACAATCACACACACACACATATATATATATATATATATATATATATATATATATATATATATATATATATGAAGAAATATAGTCTTAAGATGTGCTATATTTATGGGATAAAGTGCTCAATATCAGAGATAGATCGTGTGTAAATTTAAAAGTGGACTTCTATGTTCACTTTTTTTATATATATATATATATATATATATATATATATATATATATATATATATTATACTATTCCAAACGTCATTTTGAGGAATTCAGAAGACAGGAGATAACGATTGGCATTATATTAAACTTGTTGAAGATTAAAGTTAACTGGGAAGCAAGAAACCGGAAGCGACATCCAAAAGCGAGACGTGCGATAGAAGACGCTGTTAGCATAGAACTTACGGTTGCATCTACCCATTTCAACTGCAAAACGATGCGACCTTACTGCCAATCTGCGCTTAAATTCATAAATTTTATGTAGAAATTGTTTATGTTGCTCTCTCTCTCTTTCTCTCTCTATCACTATCTATCTATCTATCTATCTATCTATCTATCTATCTATCTATCTCTTTCTCTCTTGGCTTACGGCCATATCACGTTGAAATACCGGTTCCAGTAGGATCGCCGAAGTTAAACAAGGTAAAGTCTGGTCAGTACTTAGATCAAGGGCGACCGCTTGGGAACACCAGGTGATGTGAGTTTGGATGTGCGGGTGGTGTAATGGATAATGGCTCAGAATTTTTAACCAGAGAACCGAGTTCCAGTTGGTTTTGTAATATCCATTTACGCATAAATACCCTTGAGAAAGGTACGAATGCAGCTTGGGGTTAATTTATAAGACTTGTATCACTAAATCATTAATATTTCCAAAAAATAAAATTCCTACAATCAATAATTTCTGGCTTTAAATAACCTTAAAAGGGTTGATAAACCGTCGAAAGTGAATCAATCAATCTCTCTCTCTATCTTTCTATTTCTCTGTAGAAATGTTGATTTTCTAAGCGTAGTTTAGATGTGGCACAAGGCCAAAAGTAAGGGAACCCAGTCAAGATCGAACTCACTATTGAGTCGTAATTAAAAAATTATTTTCTAGGCGTAGCTTGGTTGTGGAACAAAGCCGAAAATGAGGAGACCTTAGCCGGAATCGAACTCATTACTCAGTCGGAATTGATCTAGCGAGACAAGCTTGTTAACTTTTACACCTCCCCTCTCTCTTTCCTCTCTTGGTGTTTACCCGAGACCCCCCCCCAACCCCCAACAAGTTGGGATGTGGCACAAAGCCGTTGTTTTTTGTTTGTTTGTTTTTTATATGGTGCGTTCCGAAGACATAGGGTCCTGTGAAAATTGCTCATAGACCCCGAATACACGGAGTCGGGTCGCTGTCTACCTACCCAGACGAGACTCTACCCTTCGGCATAGCCTCGCTTTGGTTCCTCTCCGCCCGGAGGCAGAGAGTCGACAGAGTTAACTGTAATCGTTAACTCCTCTCTCTCTCTCTCGCTCTCTCTCTCTGTTTCTCTTCCTCTTTCTCTCCATCTCTCTCTCTCTCTCTCTCTCTCTATATATATATATATATATATATATATATATATATATGTGTGTGTGTGTGTGTGTGTGTGTGTGTGTGTGTGTTGGAAATATTGGATTTGAGTTCATTTCTATTAGATACTGAATACGGATTGAATGCATTATTCCTGTTCCCCCTTTTCTAAGTTCTTCCTTTTTGCGTGTATCGGTGGTACGTTTACGGGGGAAGTCAACTGCAGATCTTATTAATAAAGCCCCTCATTGTTACACGGCATCACTTTATGCTGTTATTATCGTTTTATTCTGTGACAGATTTCTATGAAGGTAATTTTCTTTCTCTATTTAAGAGTAAATAATAAATAAATGCAACTAACCCACCCAACCCTATTTTGGCAACAACTTCATTTCTGAGGCTATTGAAACGAAAGAAATGGCCGTGTTGCACTGATGGCATTCACTTGGGTGACTGTCTGGTTGACTACTCCTAGTCGCCATTGTTTGCGCCTGCGTCTTTTACATATGTGCAATGATGAAGTCAAATACGATTGGATCAGGTCACTTTATTCTGCTTCGTCAACAGGAAGACGCCTCTGAATGAACTCATCAGACACAGCAGCAATGGTAACGCAAAGATTCCTCACTCACCTCAAACCGTCTTCCATCTTAGCAGACGTCAATATTATTATAAATATTGGGATTTTTTTTTTTTTGTTATTTTTATTGGTTTTTGTTTTTATCATACTGAATAATACTTCTTCCTTGATTATTATTATTTATTTATTTATTTATTTATTTTTTGTTTTTGCCTTTTAGTTATTATTTTGGATTTTCAGTGACCCATTCTGGCCTTTTTCCATCTTGTTTGCTTTCTCAGATTTTCTTGTTCTTTGACTTTTTAGTCCATTCCGGAAATATTGGTATATCTCTTTGTATTTTTTTTTTTTTTTTTTTACCAAAATCTTATTTTCTTTTTATTTCTTCTATTTTAATTTTTTTGTTTTTTGTCCCTTTCTTCTTTCTTTTCTCCTTTTAGTTTGTTTTTCTTTTCTTTCTTTTTTTTTTTGCTATCCTCTCATTCTTTTTACTTTTCTTTTCTTTTCTTTTCTTTTCTTTCTTCTCCTACTCTTATTACTTATTCTACACCTTCTACTAAATTTTGAAGTTAATCCTGATCTTTACCACTTTTCTCTTCTTTCTTTCTTTCTTTCACGTTCTTCTTCTTCTAACCTTTTATTTTCTTCCTCTTTCTTCATTTTCTTTCCTTTAACTTTTTCTTCTTTTCTTTTTTCATCTTCTTTTACCCCTTTCTATCCTATTCTACGTCTTCTTCTTGCTCTCATTTCCTATCTAGCCTTTACTTCCATCTTTCTTTTTAGTTTTTCTTCGCTGCTTCTCCCCTGTATCTATTCTTCTCGTCCTTTCTTCTTCTTCTTCTTCTTCTTCTTCTTCTTCTTCTTCTTCTTCTTCTTCTATTATTACTACTACTACTACAAATACGTTTAATCATTTTCGTCCTTTCCTTCGACAATATTTCTTCGTCTATTCTTATTTTCCACCTAATCTCCGCTACTTGTCTTCATTCTTTCTCTCCTATCCTTTCTTTCTTCTTTCTTTATTTCCTTCCTTCCTTCTCTCCCCTCTTCTCCTTCCTCATCCTTCATTTTGTCTATATAGCAGAAATTTCCAAACAACCTTTCGTTTTGAAAGGTGACAATGTGAAGTAGCATCTTGTGACCCGAATCAAAAGAAATAGAAGCGTTCAACAACACAAGGCGTTGATTTATTGAAAAGAAGAAGAATCGGCTTTAATGGGGTAAGGATAAAAACGCGATTTGAATAGTCAACATTCAAATTATTCATTCAGAATCAGTAGCCGAGTGGAACATGTTTAAGGAAGAACAGACCAAGGAACCACCTTCGGCTGTTGTTACCGTTTCTGTCTCCACAATTAGCAGAAGAAATTCTTCCATCTCCCCAATCCACGAATCTTCATCCCGAAATGATCGAAAATATTCAATGGTCTTCGGAAATATGCCGTCTGGGTTCGTATTTTCTTTCCTCTTGATTCTTTCCTATTTAGAGATATCGTTATTTCTAAGTAGAAACCATGCAAACAGTTTAGTCAGATAAAAAATAAATAAAAATAAAACATTTTCTCGAATTCAGGAATATATTTCTTCTCATTTTTTCTTTCTTTTTTTTGAGGGGGGGATAAGCAACCATGTTTTAGTATTTGCTGTTTTATAGAATTCCTTTTATTTGACCGTCCTAGGTATGACGATAAACTAAATCCGCGTCCATTATTTACATTATTCGGACTATTGTCCTCATCTTTGTCGCCATATTTATTACAACGTTTCGGCAGTTGTACGCTCCGGCCTTCTTCAGGTGGTTGGAATGTCGAACTGAACCATTTATTCCGCTCACTGGGGTAGACTGTTCTAGTTCCACGTGCCATGTTTTTAATGGATGTCAGTTATCAGTTATCTCCTGTTAATTTCCCTCTGAAAATTCACCACAGCCTTAACCGGGTATTGAACTCATACTCTTTGGGTCCTGTCACTGGATCTAACCAACGACTTTATCTACTATGTCATGTGACCATTGAGCGAATTAAAGGGTTATGTTCGACATTCCAACCACCTGAAGAAGGCCGGAGCGTAAAACGGCCGAAACGTTGTAATAAATTTGGCGACAAAGATGAGGACAATAGTCACAATAATGTAAATAATGTACATAATACCTAATCCCAGAAATATAGACAGATACATCCGCATCCTGGGTAAGACGATAAACTACATCCGAGTCCTGGTTAAGACGATAAACTATGTCCAACAGCAAGGCCTCTGATCCGGAGGTTTTGAGAAGCGTGGAACCTCCTCTTAATTGCTGGTGTTCCCAGGTCCACCCTGACCCGGGGTGGTAGCAACTGTTAAGGTCCCAACTATGGGTAAATAGTTAGCTCCCAAACTGGGGTTAAAACACTATGTAAGTGTAAAAATAGGTTTTAACTAGAAATACTTTGAAAAAAAAATTATTACCAGCAATACATTTTTGAAAAAAGATATTACCAGCTATTCATTTTTGAAGACAAAATATTACTAGCAATAAAAATTTTGTTGGCATTAAATAACCCATTGACGTGTTGATATGCCGTAAACAAAACAAACCAAATCAAACTTTTTATTTGAAATAGCTACAATATATACATTATATTTGTGATCATGAATAATCGAGAAATCTTACTTTTCTTTAATAATATTTCTCGAATATTGAGGCCGGTAGACGATATATTGTTTAAAGTTATCATGATTTAAAGTTTTAAGTTAAACTGTAAATATACTATTAAAGTTATAAATAAAACGGCGTCTATTCAAATATGGGTATCCACTAAAAATAGTGTTTATGTGATGTTCTCGTTAGACAATTATGCACAATAGAAAAAGGGTAATTTTAGAAACAGTAGCTGCTCCTGCTATTAACGCATCGCTCTTCAGTTGTGAACTGAGACTCTTGGTTAATGGCGTTCTTTTACATTACATATGTAATTAAGAAATATTAATGGTAGAAACTCTGACTGATCCCAGATCGGTCGGTGTTCGATACCGGCTTAAGGCAATCTAATATCTAGCCACACTGATGAGCTGTGATACAGCGAAACAGGCTTGTATGTAGATGACTATTTATGCTCCCGTTAGACGATTGAGCACTATAGGGAAAGGGTAATTTTAAAAACAGTGGCTGCTCCTGCTATTATCGCATCGCACTTCAGTTATGAATTGAGCCCTCTGGCTGCTGGCGTTTGTATACATCACGTATGTAATACGTTAAAATTTGCCTTCCGCTGCCGTACGCCGATAGCTTAAGTGTAGAATCAGTCGGTTTGAAGCAATCGGGTCTAGCCACACTGATACAGCGAAACATGTGAATGATATATATATATATATATATATATATATATATATATATATATATATATATATATATATATGATATATATATATATATATATATATATATATATATATATATATATATATATATATATATATATATATATATATATATATATATATATATATATCTTTGTGATAAATATGTATATATATTATAACATTATATATAAATAATAATATTTATATATATTCGTATTCTTCTATATACCGTGTCTCTTCGTGGACGAGAGCGACCATAGCTCTCCACAACTTCCTATCTTTTGTAGCTTTTAGTAGTTACACCATCCCTCCCACTCTCTTTTTGCTTTCCTCTATCCCGTTTGTCTTTAATACCCCCTGTATCTACTCTTTGCCTAATGAAGGTCACGAGCCCGGAAACACGTGTAACAAGATTATGGAAAATAAAGCATCATACATAAGCTCTTCCCTTTATATATATATATATATATATATATATATATATATATATATATATATATATTTAGTCTTAAGATGTGCTATATTTATGGGATAAAGTGCTCATTATCAGAGATAGAGCGTGTGTAAATATAAAAGTGAACATAGATGTCAACACTTAGAGGCGACAGTCTGTTTCATGCTAGATGTAATCGTCAGGGCTGATCAGCACTCGTGGCCTGACAATTGCATCTCGTATGAAACAGACTGTCGCCTCTAAGTGTTGACGTCTATGTTCACTTTATATATATATATATATATATATATATATATATATATATATATATTCCAGTATAATTTTCCAACTTATTCAAGATGCTTCGTTCTCTGTAATTTTGTAACTTTCTGCCCTGCAGTAACAAGATGCCTCACAGTTTTCACATACAATTTCATTTTCAAGTCTTTTTTCACTGCTCTTTGTTATAGATGAAAATCCTCTCTCACATGCCAAACATCTTATGAATTGAGTTGGCTCTTTTCTAATTGCTCTCTTTAGCTCTAAGTTGAAATGATGATGTCTCTTCCTGTTGTGACCTCCTGATCCAATTTTCCTCTCTACGTTTCCCTCATTTTTAAACTTATTCACCGTTCTCTTGATGGTTCTTGAAGATGGAAGCTAGAGTATGAATGTTGGTATCATTACTGAAGGATGCATAAGCTTTTTTTTCCTCTCAGTTAGTGAGACAGTGCATCTGACACAAAACGATTTTAACCTGCGCTCTTTTTAGCTGAATAACTCAAACGATTAAAAAAGTGATTCTTACGACAAATGATGTCAAAATGGGTAAATGTGAAAACCTGGGAAAAAGAAACTCAGTTAGTGTAGTGTTTTTAGATATTAAACATTTTACGGGGTGGACAATTATGCTGATAACCCGATTTAGACAATTTTGCTGTTACATCGGGTAAAAGCATCTTTTTTTTAATATATTTTTCTTAAAATTTCCCTTTTTGCTGACATTTTCAATCCATGGTTCATTCTCAGCATCCTTTTGAAAGAGCACAGTTTTTTTTTTTTTTGTTTTTTAAAATCACGCCTATTCTTGCGCTGTCAAAGGAAAACTCCAATGTCATTTTCTCCTTGTTTTTTGAAAACAATACTTTCTTATCGTAATTGTCAAATATATTGTCAAATATACAAGTCACTTCAATTCTTTTAGTTGTTTTGTTTCGATTTAAGGTCTCTGCTGAAAGGTGGTTGTTTCGTAAAATGACCATCACCGCCCCGTCACGAGGAAAAGCTTGCGATACAACCTTACTTATTGTCCTGTCTAAATACAGTAAGAAATGAACATATTGATAATTTTAAATCTGAAACAAAAATGTGATATTAGTTTTATTTTTTTGTTTTTTTGTTTTTTATTTTTTATTTTTTTTATTTTTTATTTTTTTTTTATTTTTTGTTTTTTATTTTTTTTATTTTTTATTTTTTATTTTTTTGTTTTTTATTTTTTTTTTTTTTTATTTTTATTTTTGTTTTTTATTTTTTTGTTTTTTATGAAATTTAGGTTTTATTATTTTAATTTTCTTTAAATTTTTCAAATATAAATTTCAAAAAAGAATTTGGTAATAATTCAAGCAACGAATAAGTCTAAAGGAAAATAGAAACAATACAAACACGTGTACTTGATTTGAGGTTTACGGTTCATCAGCTTTTTGCATGTTATTTAAAGCCAGAAATATTTTACATTGTAATAATGTTTTGCAGATAATAACGATATACTAATACAGGTATTAGTAATTAACCCTTAGTTGAGGAGAGAACGGGTGGATTCTTACCGTTCCCAAAGGTATTTGCGTGTAAGTAAATATAAAGAACTCGACTGGAATTAGAACTCGGCTCTCTGATTTCCAATTCCGATCCCTTAACCACTACACCCAACGCACATCCAGGCTTACAGTATCTGGTATTCCCCTTCTGAAACACGCGAAAAAAGAGGCCTTCGAAAATTAGACATTCAAGGAAATCACGGGATATATCAAAGCGAAATGCAGGGTGGCAGCGAACGACCTACGTGTGCAGGTTATGTGAATGGATGGTGGGGAGTAAGAGGGATGGTAAAAACACAAATAGATCTACAAAGAATAGGAAGTTGAGGAGAACCGTGATCACCTATACACACTCTGAAGTTTCACAGCACACATGAAAAAGAATTTATCGAATGTGACCGACAAGGAAAATGTTATATATTTTTATTCAGTTTTATTAATTTTCCTTTATGTGTGTCCCTTACTCTTTTTGAATAAGATCGCGTCTACATATCATCTCTCAATTGCATCTCTGTCTTTGGGTAGAGTT